GGCATAAAAAGGAATATCAAGGCTGAGGAGATGACTCAGTGAGTGTGGCAGTTTGAAAGAAAACGGCCCCCAAAGGTAGTAGCCCTATAAAGAAATGTGGTCTCGTTGGAGGAAGTGTGTCACTGTGGAGGTGGGCTTTGAGGGCTCATATACACTCAAGCCACGCCCAGTGAGACAGTTCACTTCCTGTTGCCTTTGGATCAAGATGTAAGGACTCTCAACTCCAGCACCATGTCTACATGCATGCTGCCTTGCTTCCCACCATGCCAATAATGAACTAAACCTCTTAACTGTAAGCCACCCAATTAAAAGTTTTCCTTTATAAGAGTAGCCGTGGTCATGGAGTCTCTTCACAGCAATAGAAAGCCTAAGACAGTGAGCAAGAACACTTGTGCAGACATAATGACCTGACTTTAAATTCCCAGTATACACATAAGAGACTGTGAACGGCTATGTGTGCTTATATCCCCAGTTTTGTGGAGCAGGAGGGCAGGAGGGTCCTGGCATCTCACTGGCCAGTCAGCCTAGTTAAAACAAGCAATAGAAGGCACCTCATGTCTTCTGGCGTTCAAACTGGTGTGCATGAGTACATGTGTCCACACGCTCACATGCATGTAACACACACACACACATACACGCACACACACACACACACACACACACACACACACACCATGTCATCATTTTAAAATCTCTTAATGAAAGTTAAAAGCAGCATTCAATTTAGAAAAAACATTTATACTCTGTATTGTTCTAGCTGATAAAATGCTGCAAAAACAATCATAATTCAAAGCACTGAATTGTGTTTCTCAGACATTCCGTGGACCTGGAGAAAATCCTCGAGAAAACAATGCCAGGAATAATTCTGCCCATGGAAGGGTGGGCCAAATGACCTCCGAGGCCCTTCATCCTGAGACCTTCAGCACTTCGGTAGTTAGTTATGGTTTTATGGAATTAAAAAACAGGGGTCCGCACTGTTTTATTTATTTTTTTTAAATGTATTTATTGTAGCTTAGAACATTAAGTGACTCCTTTATTTTTAAAGACCACAAGATATTTCTTTTTCAATTGTGTTAATAGGATTCGAGGTACTTTTTCTTTGGAAAAAAAAAGTGTCTGAAAACAAGTTACCTCACTTTTCCCAGTCAAATGTCAGGTCTTACTAGATTCCAATAGAAGCAAAACTATATTATGTAACGAGGCCTGGCCCAGGGTATGATTTTAAATCAAATGTCTCATTAAAAACACTTCATTAATTTTATTCCTCCGCCCCCCCCCCAAAAAAGTGTGGGAGCACAAATAAGAAAACGAAGCTCGTGTCTGATTTGTTTCCCTTGGTATGACCGTTTTCAGAATGTAAAAGGTAATCCTTGCCACTGAGCTGTGTGATGAATTAGGCATTCCAGCCGAGTTATAAAGCGCCACAGAGGGAGGCTTAAATGGCAAGTGTTGGGCTGGTCTGTGCCCTCACTGCAGCAGGGCTCTGCCCAAACAAAGCGGCATTCATGGGTCCCCTCGGCCACTTCGTGCTCCAGACTGTTCCCAACGAAACTACTGTGGGGCTGTTAGTGAACTTTGTCAGAAGAACTCGGGGTCACTGAAAGAAACATAAAAAGGTACCTGGTGTCTTCTGATGCCTGGACTGTTTAGGAATCAAACACTGGTCGGAGCAGCATGGTTCATCAGGGAACATTTGTGTTTACAGTGTAGTAAAACTAAGAAACTTCAAGCTCCCTGTATCGTATAACCAATTTGGGTTTTGTTTTAACTTTGTATTCTATCTTCAGGCATATACCATTGCCGAAGAAGAAAAACCAAACATTAAAAACCATTACTGTTAGCATTTGCTAGAATTCACTCTATCAAAAGGGGGACAAAGGAAATCATGGAATGGTAATGGGATGGTTAAAAACCAATCAAAATGTCTCAATAGTAGATTAGTGTGCATGGCTGGCTGTGTGTGTGCCTCAGTGAAACAGTGTGGGCTTAGGTGTATACGGCCCAGCACCAAACTGATTGTGAAAAATAGATTAGTATACAGTTTTCCACATCTTTCATTTTCAACTCCCCGTTTTGGTTGCCAACTGTCTACTAAATGACTTCTGAGAAAAGAGCCCTGTTTCTTCAGAAACTTAAAGAGGACAGGCGAGATGTCTTGGGAGGTAAAAAGCTTGCTGAACAAAGACCTGAGCTCGGATCCCCAAACCCACATAAAAGCTGGATGGTGCAATGTGCCCTTCTGAGAGGCAGTCAGGAGAATTGCCAAAAGCTCACTTGAACTGTGCAAAAGTGAAAAAGACCTGGTATCAAACAAGATGGAAGGTGAGGACGGTCTCCAAAGCTGTCCTCTGATCTTCATACACATACTGAGACACGTGGCTGTCCACACCTATACACACACACACACACACACACACACACCACATTCACATACACATACACAAATACAGACACACACACACACATACATACACACACATCACATACACACACACACACACACACACACACACACACACACACACAAACCATGCACAAGGAAAAGAAAAAGTGCAGTTTTCTGTCTTGGCTGGGTGTCTTATGGTTCCCTCTCACACCCACACCCACTTAGCATGTGGTGATTCAGGTGATATGAGAGGATGCTGTGGAGTGGACAAATGAATTGCTCTGAGGTGCCCCGAGGACGTGAATTTGACTTTCGGTCTACACTTCGCCATAGGTAAACGGACTTAACTCAGACTCAGCTTCCTCATTCTGAAATAAGAACACTGAAGATGATAGAAACTGTAAAAGTCTCTGGCCGTGAGTTAAGTCACACTCGGCCTGGGGGTCTGCCTTTTAATCGTGTTTGTTATCATCGTATAAAGGATTGTCCGGCCCTTCACTGTGGAGTCCTTCCTTGTACGTCTGCACACAGAGCCACTTCCTCTTCCCTTCGGCTCCTGTCTGCACCTGGTCCCAGCAAGCGTCTGCTCTGCTCCGCGCTATTCCTTCAGCCCACTTCACCCTTTCCTCCTCATCCCCTGATTTCCCCCAAACACTGCTGGCTTCACACTTCCACCCTCGCAAAGCAATCTCAGAAGGCTCTGCTTAGCTTTAAATATGGTCTTCGTTTCTGGCGATTTAAGTAGAAAATGTTATTCAATCAATATTTCACAAGATAGTCTATGTTCAAAATATTTCCAAAGCCATATAGCATGCCATTATATATTGACATTCATGGAACTATTGGATGTTACAGATTTGGCAGGATTTTTTTTTAGCATATTTAGAATGTTCTTATACAAAAATATTTCAACTCTACAGAAAATAATAATATAAGGTAAAAATCTAAATATTTGGGGCTGGTGAGCTGGTTAGTCTTTGTCAACTTGACACATACCAGAGACATGTCATATGTCTCAATTGAGGAATTGCCTCCATCAGACTGGTCTGTGCGTGTATCTTGGAGCACTGTGCTTGTACTGGCTAGTTTTGTCTCAACTTGACATAAACTAGAGCCATAAGAGACCACCAGGCTGGTGGTTCCGATTCTCTAAGAAAGCAGCTGAGCAAACCTACAGCAAGCAGCACCCCTCCATGGCCTCTGCATCAGCTCCTGCCTTGGTTCCTGCTCTATTTGAGTTCCTGTCCTGACTTCCTTCAATAATGGACTACAATGTGGAAGTGTAAGCCAATAGACCCTTTTCTCCTCAACTTGTTTTTTGGTCATGGTGTTTTATCTCAGCAATAGACCCCCTAGCTGAGACAGTACTGATTGATAGAGAAGGGACTAGCCCACTGTGGGCTGTGTCAGCCCTGAGCAGATGGTGTTGGTTTGTATAGGAAATGTAACTCTGTCAGCCAGGGGAGCCAGCCAGTAAGCAGCAATCCCCTGTGGTCTCTGCCTTAGTTCTTGCCTCTGCCTTCCCGATTGAACTCCTTCACTGGCTTCCTTCCCTCAGTGATGGACTGCAATGTGGAAGTGTAGAACCCTTGCCTAGCGTGAATGAAGCCCTAGATTCCATTCTTAGACACACACACACACACACACACACACACACACACACACACACACACCTGACTGCTTTGCCTCTTCCACCCCTTAGGCGTGAGAGAAGGGTCTCACACATATGTGCTCTACCACGAAGCTACACCCTCACAGCCCCGTTTTCATGGGCACATGTGTAGGACTTACTCAAGAGTTATATTCATATCTTCATGCTAACTATGTTCATCGTCTGCCTAACACCATTTTATATCAGATGGTTTTTTTCTTTTCATCATTTTATGGTTTTCTAACAGATGACTATAATAAAACACACTGACATGTATGTTTAAATTGCACATTAATAATACCATAGCACTTTCAACCCATGTTGAGAGTTACCTTTGTTGATACATTTAGCTCAACTTTGTTTATCTTAGTGTTGTATAGAATTCCTTCTTATAAATCCCATGACTTTGTCTAGCGAAATGTGAACACTCATTCACTCCTGCCTGGAGTGAATTCATTTATTGATGAACTAATACATTTGTCAGGGTTACTTACAGGAGCACGGTGGAGGGGCAATTTACAGGAACATGCTTGGCTTAAAGGCAGTTGCATCATCCAAAAGCCCATCCCAGCCTGAGTGACAGCTTAGGAGAGCTGTATTTCTGGGGTGCCCTGCCCAGCTTGGAAGCAGTTCACTGAAGAGTCTCTTCTCTCTCCCAGAGCAGTTCACTGCCTTCCTAACCTTGGGAAGGGATCTTGTCAACTTTCTAAACTTTGGATACCTCATAAGTGTTTCTAGCTTCCTGCGTCTTACGGGCCTAATTCCTCCTTCCAAGTGGGAATGTGCCAGTTCAGAGGAAATAGCTGCAGAGCAGGACATGCCAGCCCTCATTTACCCACTTCACTATTAGTATATACTTGGATGGTTTCTAAGTTTTCACTGTGGTAAACAGTGGCAAATGTAATATTCTATTTGTTTATATGTGTAAGAGTTGGTAAGAACACGCATATGTTCCGTTTTCAGGCTAATGGCATGTTGCTGAATCGCTCTCAAGCCCAACTGATCCCACTCAAGTTCTTGCCAACAGTGTATGAACTTCTTCCTGGTCCACAGCCACGCCGGGACTTGGCATCATCACACGATGTCTGCATATAACCGACAAATTTCCCACTGCAAGTGCATCTGGGAATTTTTATTTTGTGTTGAGTCACTTTGTGAGTCGTCTGCTTGTGTTTTACTTTCTGGGTCTCCTGCTCGTAGCTTTTGCTGTTCTCCGGCATCACCTCGCTTCTACAGACATCATTTCCTCTGCAGATTGTGTGAACAGGTATGTAGTTTTTCGGTGTGATTATGATTAATCAGTTCTTCTGGCACCAAGCATTGAAGAGTTCTTCTTTTCCTGCTCTGCTCAGTGTCAGGTGCATGTAGACGGATTTTTCTTTGGGCTTCCAACTCACAAAAGAATGACACGGAGACTTATTACTAATTATGAAAGCTCGGCCTATTGCTTGGGCTTGTCCCACTAGCTCTTATACCTTAAATTAACCCATTTACATTCATCTATGTTTTGCCTTGTGGCTTTTTAACCTCTCTTCCATCTTGCACCTCCTGTTTCCTCTCTGTGTTCTCTGGCGTCTGTAGACTCATCTCCTCCTCTGCCCGGAAGTCCCGCCTAACCTCTTCCTGCCTAGCTATTGGTCATTCAGCTCTTTATTAAACCAATCAGAAGGTGCCTTGACAAAGACATATCTTTACATTATACAAAAAGATTATTCCACAACAGGTGTAGCTTTAGTGTATGAATGGTCCCATTTTACAATCCTTTATGTTGTGCTATTGATCCGATTTTCTTTCCCTGCCTCATTACTAGTTGTAACTACCAAGGCTTTCTAGTAAGTTGTCCCATGTGGCAGAAAATTCTTTGATTTTTGTTGTTGTTGTTTTTGATATGGTCTGTGTATGTAGCTCAAACTAGCCTCATACTTAGCTCTCTAAATGTTGGGGCTACAGGTAAGACCATCAAGCCCAGCTTCTCTACATTTTTAATTTTCATCAAAAGCATCTTTTCACGCAAATTCTAGAATTCTCTAGGCAAATTATGAATTCAGAGATTAATGCAGGGAATAATTAAAATTTTACAATACTGACTTTTCTAATTAGCAAGATACATCTCCACATTTCTCTAGTCTTTCATTTCTTACCGTTATTTCCTTTTATCTGGGGGGGGGTCTCTGGTCACCCAAGCTGGCCTTGAATTCGATATCACCAGGTAGCTGACAGTGGTCTAAACTCCTGATCCTCTTCCTCCTCCTTCCAAGAGCTGTAATTAAACATGGATGTCACCACCCAGCTAGTTTCAGAGATTTTTTTTCCCTAATTTTTAATTACGTATATGTATTGTGTGTGTTTTCATATTTATTTTCTAAAAGCTCTCTGGCATGTCTTGCAAGATCTACTCGTAAAAATTTTAAGGATTTTGATACTATTGATTCCTATAGAAATACAGCTCAGTTTTTGAATAATTTATTAATAGATTTTCTGTAAGAATTGGTCATCTGAAATGTTAGATTTCTATCTTTCTAGCATTTTCTTTTTTCCTTCCCTCTCTCTTTTGTCTTCCCTTTCTCCGTTCATCTTCTTGTTGTGGCTTGAACTTCCTGTCCACTCATGAATGACTGTAAACTGGAATAATGGGCTTCTGTGGATTGCTCTTGACAGTAATTCTAACCATTCATAATTAGTTATATTGTTTGCATAGGGTTTGGAAAGATGACCTTTCCAGATTAAAGGAGTTTCTTTCTATTCTGAAAAGTTTGTTTTGTTTTGTTTTAACTTAATTATCAGTTTGGGTGTGAAGTGTTAATGCATTAACATTTTTGCTTGTGTGTTTATAACTGAGTTTACTTCTAAACTTCCTTTATATGCTTCTTTGTCTCATTATGGCATAAACATTGTACTAGTTTCACAAATTATGTTGGAAGGCATTCTATCTTCTTCTATTACCTGGAACAAATGATAGGAAATAGGATTATCTTCTTGCTGAAGGTTTGGCTGAAGTTTCCCATGAAAGCATCTTGGTCTGATGGTGTTTTTGTAGGAAGAATTTTAACATTTAAACTAATTTATTAAGGGCTGAAAATCCAATCAAGCTTTCTATTTCTCTTAATTCAGTTTATATTGGCTGTATTTTTCTAGAAAAAAATCCATTTCATCTATATTTTATTTAGATTAATAGACCTCATAGTAGCATTCCCTTATTTTTTTTTTTTTTTAGGATTTACTTTATTTTTAATTGTGGGGGGGGGGGCGGGGCGGTATTTACACACAAGTGCAGGTGCCCACAGAGGCCAAGGATGTCTGAACTCCCTGGTGTTGGAGTGACAGGCAGGTGTGAGCCCCTCAAGGTTTCAGTTGAGAACAGAACTTGAGTCCTCTACAAGAGCAGTATGCGCTCTTAACTGCTGACCTGTCTCTCCTTTGCATAACTTATTCTCATTTTATTTGTGTTTATGTCTATTTTCTCATGTCCAGCATTACGTCTCAGCATTTTTCTGATGGGCCTTGCCAGAAGTGCTAATATTTTTTGTTTTTTGATTTATGTCTTAAATCTTTTTGTTATTGTTGTTGCTGTTAATTTGCAGTTTTCATCTTTATTCCTTTTTTTATTTCTTTGAGTTTACAGTATTTACTTCATTGCCTTTCAAATATTTTGTTTGTGTGTGTCTCTGTGTGGTGTTGGTATGGTAGGCACACTTGTTAGTGTGCTTTTGTGCACATGTATGTGCAGGTGTGAGGACATAGTGTCTGTGTGGTGACCTGAGGTCAATTTTGGGTGTCTGTCCTCAATCTATGCACCCCTTTTCCCCCCCTAACTGAGCCAGGGTCTGTCCCTAAACCTGTCTGGCAAACGAACTTGGGGAATCTGCCTATGCCGTCCCATCCCAGCTCCCACGCTGGTGCTGCAGATGTACTGTGAAGTCCCGCTCTTTACTGGGTCCTCGGGGTCCAAACTCAGCCCCCCTGCTTGTAGGGCAGGCTCTCCCTGAGTGTACCATTGCTCCAGTCTCCCTCACCGTCTTTGTCTTTGTTCTGTCCCCTTCTGTTCTTAAACTAATCATGCCGGCTCACTGTTTGTTTCTTTTTAGTGCCCCTTCTCCCCTGTCCCGTGTTTGGCCTCACAGCACTCAGGCTGGCCACGGGCTTGTAGTTTAATATATAGTGGAGGATGACCTTGAACTCCTAACCCTTTTCCTTCCTGCTTCCACCTCCCAAGTGTTGAGATTGCAGACGTGTACCACCCTTGCCTTCTAGTCTGCTTCAGGTTTTGTTGATGTATTTTTTTAAGTGTGGTTACTTGTGTAATCTCTTTCTGCCTTTGGTCCATCCCCTTGGGAGCCTGCTTCAGGAACCTGATCTCCCTCTTCAACACACACACACACACACACACACACACACACACACACACACACACCCCTTAGGGCTCCCCACCTCCCCAAATGAAGAGCACTCTGCCATTGGCTCTGCTGATGAGTTAGCGCCCTCTGCACTGAATCTTTTCTTGACTGTGAAGAGTCACAGTGTTACCACCATGTGCTGTAATGGTTCTTCCCTCCACCCCACCCCCAAACATTCTTGGGATTCTTAGTTGTATCCAAATTTGAGGATTAAAGGCTTTCATTATTAGGCAATGGCAGTTCTCAGGCATTATTACCTCTTAATGTTAGAGACCATTGGAACAAGGCTATGTTGTAGTTCTCATAAGCTGTCATGACTGTCTCCAGGAGTGGCGACAAATGTTTCTGTGTAAGGAACAGTGAAAACATTCCTTTTTCCTGTGTCAATATAAGCGGCTTAGCAGCATGCTGCCTCCTTTAGCCTCATTGTCAGTGATAATATCCATGAAGTCACAGTTTTGAAGCATGGATTTAATGACACACATTAATATGACTCTAGAACGGAGTAATCCATTCACGTGACCAACTGTAATCATCTTATGTCCCCTGTGTGCACCTCTCCTGGGAACTCCCGGTGTAAGCTGAAGAGCAACTTTGTGAGAATGATGGGAGGCACTGGTGTGTTGAAGCAAAGGAATAGCATGGCCAAGTCTTCTCACAAGACGGTTAGGAACAGAGGTCACCGAGGAAAGGGGGGACTGAGGTACTGTTTCCGGAAAGCAAGGTCAATTTTTAGGCCAATACAGCGAAACGGGAAGATGAAGAGCGCTGATGTTGGCTCTGACTGCTGTGGAGGAAGAGGGAGGGAGCATAGGTCTAAGGGAGAATGCTGAGACTTCTTGGACCACTGGGTGGAGGTGGGGCAAGACGAGCATCCTTAAGAGATAGGTGGCACTTTTAACCAGCACCTCTAACCTCCTAGGGGAGGCAGATTTGTCCTCGTTTTGTTTCAGTTTGGTTTGGTTCCAAGAAGATGTGTATATCAAACACTCCTCTTAGAGAGAAATCGGAGGGGTTTACATTACTGTTTTTCTACAGAAGATGTTGTTGCCTCACCATTACTGTAATCCACGGAAGAAATGTTTTCAAAGAGTGCTGAGAAGGGGCATCAGACTCGGCTTTTACGTAGCTTGAAGCTTCTACAAGTTTGTAGGAGTGAGGAGATAGGGGAAGTAACTCTGTAGACACGCTTGCCTGTTCAAATTTTACAAAACGGCGTGGATGCTGCTTCTCCAAAGGTTGTGGGGCCCCGTGTAGGTATCCCTGCAGCTCCAGCATTGCGGCTTGGTGGCAAACTATGCGGATGCTGGTGGCTGCGGGAGGGAAAGGGTGATGATTCCCTCCTTCATCTAGAGTGTCTGGAAAACCGACTTTTAAATTAAGACTGAGTTAAAATTGGAGTCTGAAGAAGTTTACAAGGGTCTCTATACAGATCCACCAGGGATAAATCTAGACCATAGGGTCAGAAAATAGAAAAGCAGGTGTGGTGCCGTCCCCCCTCCCCCAGGTTTTCTTCATCATTTTATAGGCAATAAGGGCTTGGAATGCTGCTATTTGGGTCTACCAGGTGTAGTCTCGTCTTTCCCGAGGGCTGATCTATTCTCTTCTCTATATATTCTCTCTCTTTTAATCTTCCTCCCTGTTATGTGGCAGTTCCCTCCTAGATCAAAACCGTCCATACTGGAGGAAGACTGCTGAAGACACAGAATGTTTACAGGAGGTGGGGGCGTAGTTTAAGACCGGATGCTTACAAGGTGAAACAGTGTGATCTTCTAAGGGGAGGTGAAACATTCTATCCTGCAAGGAAGCCCCTTTAACGCCAAACATAAAGAACTCAAAATAGCTTCAGGAAGTCCCTAAAACTGACTGGGTTCACTAATCCCCTCCTTCCCAGAGCGTGTATAAACTGTAAGAATTGAGGACACGAGGTGATTTGCCTGAAAGAGTCCCGTTCTAAGCCACCTAGAAGAGAGACCAGTTGAGCTGCCTAGACAGACGCTCAGACCAACTGAAGTACCTGGAAAGGACACTCTTCAGCCTGGTGAGCTGCCTCCAGACCGTGCAATGCACTCTAAGTTCCAGTTTTCATGAGCTGTCACCCATGATGGGGTGGGTTTTGGTGGTGCAGCTGTCATGAGTCCTGTAAAGAACCCCTCACCGGTATTCCTGTAAGTAAGACCAATAAAACTAACTGGTTCATCACGTGGACTTTGGTGGTACCCTTACCTTGGTCTATCATCTGTTCCCTATCTGGGGTGAGTAGATGTTTGTTCACATCACAGGAATAACGTCACACAACACCTCCTTATATCCTGACCATTCCTCCATTTTCCAGAATGTCCACTTCTTTTAAAAAAAAGTTTTTATGGAAGTCTAGCTGTGACCTGCTCCCACCTTTCAAAGGGTTCTTGGGTGGAGGAGAGAGGAACGAGGAATTATTAGGTAGAAAGATAGACCTAGATGACAAAGAGAAAGACAGAGACACAGGAGGGCCCTGGGTCAATACTCAGCAGCCCAGAGCTTTATTCAAAAGGACCTTTTATAATATGCCAAGAGGAGAGGCAAAAGACCTCCCCCTTGCAAGATCAAAGCACAAAGTACCAACAAGTGTAGACCCTTCCAAACACCTGGGAACCACACCCCTGGCCAAATCATCTCCTTATGCAGCCCTGCTGGGCAAAGCAAGCTCCGATTCTCTGACCCTGAGCAAAGTCTCACTAGATAGCCTCTGTGGGCTTCCACATCCTTTCTTGTGTTCAGTAAGCTGCACAGTTTTGCCCTCCTCTACAGCTGTCTAAGTCCTTCTCTGGATTTTGTTGTATATAGAGGGCATAGTGAGCTTTAGCTCTCATGATTGGGAAGAAAGGAGAGTTAGGATCCCTACTCTCTGGACTGGTGCATATATATATATATATATATATATATATATATATATATATATGAATTCCTTTTCTCTAAATATGTCAAAACTAATTATCTGATTCCAAAACCTTAAAGACAGTTTACTAAGGATAACTATTTCTACCTATAAATGTGAACAACACCTGCCCACCTTGGCTAGCATTACAATACCCTCTTCTATTCAGTTAGCAGTGGAGAACACCTTGCTCTTGTTTCTATGGTTCCTTGTTGGCTACGGACACGTGGGAAGATGGAGGCAAGAGAGGAATTAATTTGCTCTTCTATGTTTTGAGTGTGTGTCTGTGACACTTCCAGATGTAGACATTTACTAATCAGCTAAAACTGTGATTCCTGCGCTTATGTGGAAAGGCCAAGATGTAGGAGGAACATAAGGAGCTGTCAACAGGTAAATTGTCATTCAATCTGGAGGCCAAGATAAAGTTGCCCAGGGGGAGGGTGGAGAGTAAGTCGTCAGTAAAAGAGCTGCTGATGCTAAAGACCAGGGCACTGGGAACAAGCAGAGCCTGCAGAGAGAACTAAGGCCAAACCAGGAGTTCGGAAATGATCCAAACATTTAATAGATTGATAACTGCAAACATAACGACTTAATACCAATCACTGCTACTTTAAGTGTTTTGTGTGTATTTATCTGCCCCCCTCCCCCCCACCCCATACGGAGGTGGGCACAAATATTATTTCCACTGTGAAGGCAATGAACAGTTTAAATAATCATGCTAAGAGTTCCATAGCCGGTAAGTTTTAGAGTCCGTATTTAAAGTCCGACCGGCTGGCAACAGAGCCTGTGTTCTCTATGGCGCCCTCATATTCTCTCAAGAAGCCGAGCGAAGACATTTCAAAGAAAGCACAGTCCTTGGTGATAGACAGAAAAGGGTGTAGTGAAATTAAACTGAGCAGAGTTTATTTGAGCAAAGAACAGTTCACGAAGTGGGCAGCGTCCTGAACCAGCTGCTTCAGAGGGCAGACCAGCCATGTGGGCAGACAGCACTGACTGGCAGAAACTGGTAAAAGCTGGGTAAAGGGCCTGATGACTTCTCTAAAGTGTTAGGTCAGTCTCACTTGGAGTGTATTTCTTCTACAGAGCGCAGAGAGGAAAAAGAACTCTAACATAAACATTAAAAAAATTCAGTAAGTGATGTGTGATTATTTTTTCAATTAAACTCAGAGCATTTATCAGAAACAATGGGAGATATTTTCCCTGATAGTTTGGCGTGGAAATTTGCTCTTGGGTCTTGTTTGTTATTCTAGGAATAGAACCCTGAGCCCAATGTGTGCCAGATAAGTCCTCTGTACGGAGTTGTATGGACCCCTAACCCTGGCGAGGCAAATTAACAAGTCAGTAATTAGTTACCATGCTAAGAGAAGCTTCTCGTTTTCCATCTCCACATGTTTTTCTCCTGTTCTCTACAGACCAACTTCTTCTTCTTCTTCTTCTTCTTCTTCTTCTTCTTCTTCTTCTTCTTCTTCTTCTTCTTCTTCTTCTTCTTCTTCTTCTCCTCCTTCTTTTTTTTTTCCGAGACAGGGTTTCTCAGTGTAGCTTTGGCACCTGTCCTGGAACTCACTCTGTAGACCAGGCTGGCCTCGAACTCACAGAGATCCGCCTGCCTCTGCCTCCCGAGTGCTGGGATTAAAGGCCTGCGCCACCACCGCCCGGCTTCTTTTCTACTTTTAATAAAGTTTTATTTTAAACTTAATGAATTCATTACTAGTGTGTGAATGTGATGCAGGAGGGCGGGGGTATGTAGGCTATACACATGTGTGGAGGCCTGAGCAGAGCTTCATGGAGTTGGTTTTCCCCTTACTCTTCACATAGGTCCAGGGACTGAACTCGGGTTTTCAGGCTTGCTTCCTTAGACCGGAAATGCCTTTGTCTGCTGAGCCGCCTCACGTGGGCCTCGACCAAGCACCTTTGCCTTCCTGTGCACGTGGCTAAACAGTCCAACCCTGGCACTGACATTCAATTCCTGTTCCTTAAACTCTCCCGACAGACTGACTAGGGTCATGAGTGTCTGTCCTTCCGAGGGCCCAGACTCCTGCACACTTGATCAAATGTGAGACTGAAAAACAGATTTTATGTCGCTCCAGCATCACCAAGGAACTAGAGCAGTTGTTCCCAACCTGTGGGTCATGACCCATGTGGGGGTGACATCTCCGATATTTACACTACAATTCATAACAGTAGCAAAATTACAGCTATGAAGAGCAACTTAATAATTTTATAGTCAGAGGGTCACCACAGCATGAGGGACTGTATTGAAGGGTCTCAGCGTTAGGAAGGGTAAGAACCGTGGGACTAGAGGGTCTCAGTGAGGCACTCCTCTGGGTTCTGCTTCCCAGCTTCTGGTAGCTGCTCTGTGGCTGACCCATTCCAAAGCTGGGCCCTAAACCTTCTTACTGATTCCACGACAACTTCAGTGGTTTCTCGTTTTCTGAGATTATCACAAGCCTGTTCCTGATGCTTGAAAACAATGTGCAGACGCCAGTAAATGTGAACCAGCAGTTCAGCTAAACACAATCACAAAGAATGCAGAAGCAGGGGCTGGAGAGGTGGTTCAGCGGTTAAGAACACTGACTGCTCTTCCAGAGGACCGGGGTTCAATTCCCAGCACCCACATGGCAGCTTACAACTGTCTGTAACTCCAGTTTCAGAGGACCTGACACCCATGGCAAAATACCAGTGACATAAAATAAAAATAAATTAATTTAAAAAAAAATACCAAAGCTGAGCATCTAAAAAGACTGTGCAGTGGATGTGCTTCCGGGGTAATGACACCTCACCGACGCTTAGTCTCTAATGAGCAAAGCAACAAACTGAGCCAATTTAAAAAATAAAACAAAGAACTCTGGTGTATCACTGTATACAAAACCAGAAGAATTACAAAACAACACTTAACTAAAGATTTTCTTGGAGGAGAAGCTCTGTAGGCTGACGGCTCTTCGTTACGGTGGTATCTGGAGGACTCACTTCTTCTCCAGTGTTGGCTGCACCCCAAACCGAGTCATCCTTTCTTCAAGCCAAGGGCCCTGCTCAGCACCGCCGCCCCCTGGGGCCCTGCTAATTCTATAGCAGCAGGGTTTATAGGAGATACAGCTGCTTCACCCTAGCTCTGGCACCCCAGAACTGACAGGAATCCCTGCCCGGTTCATCCCACAGCACAGGTCCGGAACCCCTTTTACAATGGTCTCTTTTCTACGCGCAAGGTCTTGCCTGTTCTGTTCTGGGTGTGAAGTGTCCCCGGAAGGTTCACGTGTGAAAGGCTTGGTCTCCAACTGGTAAATCAGTCATGGAGAGGCAATAAGATCAGGACGGCTCTGACCTAATCAATGGGTTAATCTACTTACTGATGGAGTTATAATTGAACATACTCATTGGAACATGGGGCCTGCCTGGGTCACGGGAAATGTGTTCTCAGGGCCTACGTCTTCTTCCAGATTCCCTCCTCCACGTCTCTCTGCCTCCTGGCTGCCATGATGTAAACACCTTTGTGCCATCCAGCCCTCTGCCGTTACGTTCTGCCTGGCCGTAGGCCCACAGCAGAGCCAGGCAAGCATGGCTGAGATCATGACTCCTGAAGTCATTTCCTCAGGCGTTCCGCCACAGCAATGAAGAGGGGGGCTAATGGAGCCCCCAGCTTCAAGTTTCTGTGCGTCGTGTTTCCACCTGCCATGGGTTCTTCAGTTAGCGGCTAACGTCGACCCAGTAGACCCAAGGGTGGAGTAAAAGAACCAGAACCATTCGGTTACAGTCCCTCTGTCATTGATGTGGGCTCTTCCAATTTGGGGTGACTTTGGGATGCAATGCCTGGAAGAAAAGCACACCTTAAGTGTCTGAAAATATGATAGCAAAACACAGGCAGGAGTTGCTTTACAAAGGTGGGTAAGCAAATATAGATTAAAATACTTAGAAATATGTGTAATCCATCTGATGATTTACCTTCCCATTTAGATTCCCATCAACCTCTGTAATAGACCCCATCAGTTGTCCTCATCGGGACACATCACCAGGGCCCAATGTGGTGGATAGTGTTGACTGCCCAGAATCACACGCTTGGTCAAAACCCCACCTGACTACATCACGGCCATGCTGCTATGCCATGCAGTGTGTCAGGGGCTTAAGGGAGACCCAACTCAACGCAGGAAGGCTCCAAAGACATGAAACGCTCAGTTTTCTTTTCACTGAATATTTTGACCATATTCTCAAAAATCTCACATCAGAATGCTTACCAGGACAAACTTTTCTTCTCATTAAAAGAATTAATTTATGAAGCAAAAGA